GTTGATAAATGTAAAAAGACAAAAAGAACATCTTCATAAAATTTAAATTAGTTTGTTTACATATTAAAATTTAACATTTTGTCTTTAAAAAAAAATTTAACATTTTGAAATAAAATTATTAGCATAACCATGATCTAGCATTCCATAATGAAATAGCAATATTGTTGTAAATCTCCTTCATCTAATAATAATAATAATAATAATAATAATAATAATAATAATAATTGCGATGAAAATTGCGAATAAAGGAGAAGAGAAAATGATTTTAATTGGGGAGGGTAAATGATGTCATTTCTTTAAAATAATAAGGAAAAAGATAGAAAAAAAATTAAGAAGCTACTAGCTTATTTTGAAACGCTACCTAATGTAGCGTTCCAAAATAAGCTCTTATTTTAAGCTACGAGTTTATTTGGGAACATTACCAAACAGAGCTTATAGCTTATTAGTAGCTTAAAATAAGCTATAAGCTCCTAAAAAAGCTCTGCCAAACAGAACCTATGTTTCATAAATAAAAAATGAGTATGAAGAAATTTGACAAAACATATAGCATCAAAATTTTACCCACAGAACTCTAGAAGAGCCCAAAATTATTATATAGAAAATTTGCTCAAGTAACAATTTAACATATTTGAGGACAAGTATATTATAGACGCTGTGAGGAAAGATGTAGTGTGTGCCATTAGCCTGTATGTCGTGTGAATGGCCGATTGTAGTCGTGTGCCACAGTTTGCATGTCGCGTGCATAGATTTGTTATTTAATAGAGCTGGGGTTCTAATGCTGATGTTTACATGTATTCTTGTGTGCCATTATGTATTATATATATATATAGTATCTTTTCCATGTTGTGTGGGCAACATACAATTTTTGTTGTGAACAATAGCAAAGTTTTGCTGTTGTTTGCAACAACGAATTTTAAAAAGTTAAAAAGGTTTTGAATGCTATTAAACTTTTAAAATTTTTTTTTTATGTAAAATAAGAAGGGAAAATCATATACTAGTAGCTTCTCACAAGAATTCATCTTGTGTGGAAGAATCTCATGCCAAATATTTCACTCATTGACGAAATGGCACGCCAACTTAACAAAACTATCAACAACCTCATTTTGTTTTCATAGATAATATTAATCAAACAGAGTGGTATACTCAAAATACAGAAGGAAAAACGTTTATACTTATCATTTTTCTTTTTCCCATGAATTTCTTTCAAGCAATATTATGTTCCTATGTTAAGTGTTAACTTTCTCTAACCTTTTACAATAAAAAACTGAATGACAGTTCTTATTATTTTTCTTTTCTTTTCTTTATTCAATAAATCAGGTTACTTTTTCATTTCTTCTTTCAATTAACCATGATACTGTAGTGTTTGAATGTTAAACCTTATCATTTTCGTTTTATCCGCGTACTAGGGCCTATGACCTGGGGACAAACTCTGCATGCATATTATGTATAGTATATACATATAAACACACATATATCACCCAGAGTCCCAGACACCCAGAACAGCATGGAAGCAATGGATATCTCTGGAGAAGATGATGAGCTTTCTGAGATGGTCAGAGATTTCTTGGAGCCAGATTCATCTTTCATTTCTGCAGCTGGATACAATGATTATAATGAAAACTCTTCTGATGATCAACCACACCAAGTTGAAGAACACCAACTCTCTCTCCAGGTGCATCTATCTTAATTTCATTTTTTTTTCCTCAAAGAGAAATTAATTATGTGAAGCTAGCTATACTCTGGGTTGTTTTGGTTAACAGGAGATTCTTGAGAATGCTACAGAAGCAGAAACTGAGATTCTTGAAAAGATCATGTCTTACTGGAGAGAAGCTGAGGAGATCAAAATGGAGCCCAAAGAGCTTAGGAAATGGATGGTTTCAAGATTGAGAATGGATGGTTATGATGCTTCACTTTGTAAGACTTATGGCGTCAAAACTTCTGCTCGTTCATCAGGTCCATAAAAATATTAATTTTCTCTGGTTTTTTGCTTTCAACCTGCCCATTTTACACTATATATATTACTGATTTTATTTTTATTGTTGTGTTATTGAAGCATTCAAATTTACTGGGGATTATGAGTACATTGATGTGATGATGAAGAGCAGTGAGAGTGAGAGGGAGCAGTTAAGGGTAATTGTGGAGACAGATTTGAGGTCTCAGTTTGAGGTGGCGAGGCCTACAGAAGCCTACAAGGAACTTTCAAGCTTTCTTCCTTGTATTTTTGTAGGAACTGAGCATAGACTCCACACCATAATCTCTCTCCTCTGTGAAGCAGCCAAACAGTCCCTAAAGCTACCTACATGCAATCCAAATGGCTCTCCCAAAATTGCAACAAAATAAATCCCATTCTCACCACTCTTCACATAGATTAATATATAAAAATTATTGTTAAGGCTGATAAGGAAGTATTTTGATGAGTTTTTTGACAATGTCAATGTTGAATTCACTTTTGAAGAGGAAAAAACTTTAATGTTCATGCTTTACTTTATTAGCATTTCTTCATTCTATTTAATAGTTTATCCTTATTTTTAAATTGATAAGTCCCATATAACAAGTGTTGGTTTTATAACTTTTGAGTAGTCAATTAGAGACCAATATAATCGTTATATGCATGTGTATCCCCCTTTGTTTTCACTGCACATAACATGCACACACCATGCACGCAAGAAAACTTTAATTAATTTCTATGATTTTTTTTTCCTTTCAACTAACCAGCTCATTTTCCACCATATGTTACTTATTTTATTTTTTATTTTTGCGTTAAATTTAAAGGAGATTATGAGTAAATTGATGTTGATAATGAAGAGCTGTGAGAGTGAGCAGTGAAGAGTAATTGTGGACACGGATTTTAGGTCACAGTTTGAAGTGGCGGAGCCGAGTGAAACCTAATTTTGTAATTTTAATTTGATTATTGAAATTCTTTTTTTTTTTGGTTTGAACTTTATATATATATATATATATATATATATATATATATATATATATATATATATACATGTTTATTAGCGGAAGTTCATTAAAATTTGAATGCCAGTCTAAGGAGTACTTTGAAATTTTAATTTCCCAAAGTCACTCGATTTCATAAAAAAAAATAAAAAAATCTAACAAGTCTATTCACTCCTGACCCCTCTAAACTTGTTCAAAATCCTTCAAGGTCATCATATTTGTTTTATCCCCATAATGCTAGGTCGCAAACTTGTTATGCACGTGATGTATTACCCCTAATGTCCTATATGAAAACAATGAAGATTATGGCTATGTTTGGCAAACCTAGCTGAAAAGGTAGCTGAAAGCTTAAAAGGGGTTTGAAAACTGAAAAGCTATAAGCTAGGAGCTGAAAACTGAAGAGCTGTTATGTTTGAAAGTGTTTGGTAAAATTAGTTTTTTGATAAGTTGATAAATGTAAAAAGACAAAAAGGACATCTTCATAAAATTTACATTAGTTTGTTTACATATTAAAATTTAACATTTTGTCTTTAAAAAAAATTAACATTTTAAAATAAAATTATTAGCATAATCATGATCTAGCATCCCATAATGAAATAGCAATATTGTTGTGAATCTCCTTCATCTAATAATAATAATAATAATAATAATAATAATAATAATAATAATAATAATAATAATAATAATAATTGCGATGAAAATTGCGAATAAAGGAGAAGAGAAAATGATTTTAATTGAGGAGGGTAAATGATGTCATTTCTTAAAATAATAAGGACAAAGATGGAAAAAAAATTAAGAAAGCTACTAGCTTATTTTGTAGGTAGCGTTCCAAAATAAGCTCTTATTTTAAGTTACGAGTTTATTTTGGGAACATTACCAAAAAAAGTTTATAACTTATTAGTAGCTTAAAATAAGTTATAGGCTCCTAAATAAGCTCTGTAAAATAGAACCTATGTTTCACAAATAAAAATTGAGTATGAAGAAATTTGACCAAACATATAGCATCAAAATTTTACCCACAGAAGAGTCCAAAATTATTATATAGAAAATTTGCTCAAGTAACAATTTAACATATTTTTCATTAAATCCCATATATATATATATATATATATATATATATATATATATATATATATATATATATAGAGAGGGGACTGTGAGGACAGATGTAGTGTGTACTATTAGCCTATATGTCGTGTATATGGCCGAATGTAGTCGTGTGCCACAGTTTGTATGTCGGGTGCATATATTTGTTAATTAATATAGCCTGGGTTCGAATCTTGATGTTTACATGTATTCTTGTGTGCCCATTATTTGTTCGCAGAGCCCTCTCTATATATTGTTGTCCTCATTTGAACTCAACCCTATATATATTCTTTTCCATGTTGTGCAGGAAACATACAATTTTTGTTGTGAACAATAGCAAAGTTTTGCTGTTGTTTGCAACAACGAATTTTAAAAAGTTAAAAAGGTTTTGAATGCTATTAGACTTTTAAATTATTTTTTTTATGTAAAATAAGAGAGGAAAACTGGATACTAGTAGTTTCTCACAAGAATTTATCTTGTGTGGAAGAATCTCATGCCAAATATTTCACTCAATGACGAAATGGCATGCCAACTTAGCAAAACCATCAACAACCTCATTTTGTTTTCATAGATATTAATCAAATAGAGCGGTATACTCAAAATACAGAAAGAAAAACGTTTATACTTATCATTTTTCGTTTTCCCATGAATTTCTTTCAAGCAATACTATGTTCGTATGTTAAGTGTTAACTTTCTCCAACTTTTTACAATAAAAAACTGAATGACAGTTCTTTATTCAATAAATCAGGTTACTTTTTCATTTCTTCTTTCAATTAATCACGATATTGTAGTGTCTGAAAGTTAAACCTTATCATTTTCGTTTTATCCGCGTACTATGGCCTAGGAACTGGGGACAAACTCTGCCTATTATATATATATACACACACATCACCCAGAGTCCCAGACACCCATAACAGCAAGTTTTCAGAAACTGCAGATATTCTAATTTTAGATAGAAGAAAATTAGCATGGAAGCAAGGGGTATCTCTGGAGAAGATGATGATGAGCTTTTTGAGATGGTCAGAGATTTTTTGGAGTCAGATTCATCTTTCACTTCTGCAGCTGGATATAATGATTATAACGAAAACTCTTCTGATGATCAATCACACCAAGTTGAACAACACCAACTCTCTCTCCAGGTGCATCTATCTTAATTTCATTTTTTTTTGCTCAAAGAGAAATTAATTATGTGAAGCTGAGAAGCTCTGGGTTGTTTTGGTTAACAGGAGATTCTTGAGAATGCTACAGAAGCAGAAACTGAGATTCTTGAAAAGATAATGTCTTACTGGAGAGAAGAAGCAGGGATGAAAATGGAGCCCAAGGAGCTGAGGAAATGGATGGTTTCAAGATTGAGAATGGATGGTTATGATGCTTCACTTTGTAAGACTTTTTGCGTCAAAACTTCTGCTCGCTCATCAGGTCCATAAAAATATTAATTTTCTCTGATTTTTTGCTTTCAACCTGCCCATTTTACACTATATATATTACTGATTTTATTTTTATTGTTGTGTTATTGAAGCATTCAAATTTACTGGGGATTATGAGTACATTGATGTGATGATAAAGAGCAGTGAGAGTGAGGGGGAGCAGTTAAGGGTAATTGTGGAGACAGATTTGAGGTCACAGTTTGAGGTGGCGAGACCTACAGAAGCTTACAAGGAGCTTTCAAGCTTTCTTCCTTGTATTTTTGTAGGAACTGAGCATAGACTCCACACCATAATCTCTCTCCTCTGTGAAGCTGCCAAACAGTCCCTAAAAGAGAGTGGGCTTCATGTTCCACCCTGGAGGAAAGCTACCTACATGCAATCCAAATGGCTCTCTCAAAATTGCAACAAAATAATCCCATTCTCACCAATCTGATCTGCACATAAATTAATACATAAAATGTTTAAAAAAAATTATTGTTAAGGCTAATAAGGAAGTATTTTTATGAGTTCTGTGGAAATGTCAATGTTGAATTCTCTTTTGAAGAGGAAAAAACATTAATGTTCCTGCTTTACTTTATTAGCATTTCTTCATTCTATTTAATAGTTTATCCCTATTTTTAAATTGATAAGTCCCATATAATAAAGTGTTGGTTTTATGACTTTTGAGCAGTCAATTGCAGGCCAATACAATCGTTAAAATAATGAGTATATGAGAAATATGGATAAAATATGGAAAGAATAAGTATGTTGTATTATTGAGAATTGCTTGTTCATTTTGTATATATTTAGAGCCCTACAAGAAATAAGAATATAATCCTAAACTACTTCCTATTGCGGTTAGTAATTATATTGAAACTTATGGGTCCAATACAAGATAGGCTCAATCCCTTAGGAATAATAAGTCCAATCCTATCTAGACTCCTTTGTTTTCTCGTATTAGGTCTCTCCCTTGGGCTTCCTTGATTTAAGTATTTCCTTGGGCCAGTTCATTCCGTGAGTCTGGTACACTATCCATCATCCAGTCCTCCATTTTCTTGATATTTTGCGAAGTCGATGTCTCATACTTTCATGAAAGTAGACTAGTTAGTAAATTCATTAAAGATGAAAAATTATCAATCAATTAGTCTGGACCATGAGCTCGGGCTCTATGTTGATGCCCGGTCAGTCCCCCAATTCAAAATTCAAGTGTTTTTTTTTTTTTTTGGTGTAGACCGATCGGTCAGCCAACCTGACCAGTTAGTCACGCCCACTTGACCAACCGAGCAATCTCACCCCTTTCTCCCTTCAATTTTTATTTTGGTTTGTTTTATTTTGTTTTATTTATTTATTTATTTATTTTTGGTTTGTTTTGTTTGGTTGTTTTCTTTATTGTGCTGACCAGTCTGCTTATGTCAGCCCACTTTTTTTTTTTAGAGAATATATTCGGTCGGTTCATCCATCTAGTCCATCCGACCTGTTCGAACAGTCTACTTGACCAGTCCGCTTAACCAGTCTATTCCTTATGTCTAACAAGTCTATCTGATTGGCCACCCAACCTGCATGACTAGCTAGTCCGCCTGACTAGTCTATTCCTTATGTCTAACAATGAATAGACTGACTAGTCTATTCATCCATCTAGTCCATCCGACCAGTTCGAACGGTCTACTTGACCAGTCCGCTTAACCAGTCTATTCCTTATGTCTAACAAGTCTATCTGATTGGCCACCCAACCTGCATGACTAGCTAGTCCGCCTGACTAGTCACCAAACCCACGTAACCAGTCCACTCGATCAGTCACCCCTCCTGCATGATCAGCCTGCCTGACCGATCACCCAACTTGCCGAACCAGTTCACCTGACTGGTCATCCATCCTACATGACCAGTCGCTTGATCGGTCATCCATCCTATTTGACTAGTCTGTCGATCTGGTCTATTTGTTATTTGTATTACTTGTTGCCTGAAAAAAATTTTGAGAGTCATATGAGTTTTCAAATTATCCGTCTAATACTCCAATTAATCATCCAGCCCTCATCTCCGCCAGAATTTGTGAGAACGATTAAGTTTTTAAATTATCCATCCAATGCTCCAATTAACCATCCAGTACTCCTCTCCATCAAAATTTTTGATAAAGTTTGAGTTCACAAATTATCCATCCAATACTTCTCTCTCCCAAATTTTTTGAGAACGGTTGAGTTCTCAAATTATCCATCAAATACTCCTCTCTGTCAAAATATTTTAGAATGTTTGAGTTCTCAAATTATCCATCCAATATTCTTCTCCGCCAAAATTTTTGAGAACGTTTGAGTTTTCAAATTAACCATCCAGTGTACTCCATTAACCATCCGGTACTCCATTAACAATTCAGTACTCCGTTAACCATCTAGTACTCCATTAACTATTCGGTATTTCATTTATTAATTAGTACCCATCTCTACCAAAATTTTTTAGAATGTTTGAGTTCTCATATTAACCATCCAATGCTCCTCTTCAACGAATTTTTGAGTATGTTTGAGTTCTCAAATTATCCGCCCAATACTCCAATTAATCATCCAGTACTCCTTTTCGAAAAAATAAATAAATTTGACTACGTTTGAGTTCTTAAATTATACATCCAGAGCTTCTCTCTAGCAGAAATTTTTGAGAATGTTTGAGTTCTCATATTAACCATCCAATACCCCTCTCCGTCAAAATTTTTGAGAACGTTTGAGTTCTCAAATTATCCATCCAATATTCCCCTCTGCTAAAAAATTTGAGAACGTTTGAGTTCTCAAGTTATGCATCCAACACTCTGTTAATCATCTAGTACGTACTCCATTAACCATCTGGTACTCCTTTAACCATCCAGTAATATGTTAAGCATCCAATACTCCATAACCATACAGTACTCCTCCTCGCTAAAATTTTTGAGAACGTTTTAGTTCTCAGATTAACCATTTGATACTTCACTCCAGTAGCTTCCTACCTACTAGACTCTTTATGCTGACCAGACTCCTCAGTCCTCTCTAATAACTCCTAGACTCTGTTCTAGACCCCTCACCAACCAAAATACTCACCCATAACTCCTAGACTCCGCACTAGACCCTTCACCGACCAAACTCCCCAATGCCTAATTTTGTAAAATTTTACTTCCATCAGTCATCTCCATTTGTACCAAAATAACATGATTTCTATCTTGTAAATGTTCGGGTGGGGACTGTCATAGTGATGGTCTTAGTTATCAATTTTCGAGATAGGTCGTTGTTGTTAACTATGATCGCTTGCATTGAATAATCTTGCACACAATGAAAATGGGCCAACATTCTAGCAAACTCTGGTAACATTTTTGGCAATAAATCGACCGCCGACCGTTCTAGGTTACTGGTCAATTTTGAATAAACGGAGAAGGCAACCACCATCGTTGTCATTTGTCGGTGAAGGCAACCACCGTCTTTTCCTTCTCTAGTAAGAAGGCAACCCATGGATTGCCTTCTTGGAGAAGGCAACTGCCTTCTCATCGGAGAAGGCAACCTAGTTGCCTTCTACATTAATTCAAAATCGACTGCCGACCATTCTACGGTCGTCAGTCAATTTGTTGCCAAAAATGTTGTAAGTTGGGCTCTGTTTTCTCGTCCTTGGGTATAGTACATCGTCAGTCTTGTGTGTATAGGCATGAGCAAAATGGGCGAGTTGAGCATCGTCACAGGCACGTTGTTGAAACTGGTCTCGCATTGCTTGCTCAGGGCTCTGTTCCTCTGAAATATTGGGACTATGCCTTCGAGTCGGCAGTGTTTCTGATTAATCGTCTACCTTCGTCAATGTTAAATATGGATAGTCCATATAGCAAATTGTTTCAGTCTGAGCCTTCTTTGTCTTATCTACGGGCATTTGGTTGTTTGTGTTATCCCTACCTCCGACTGTACAATAAGCATAAATTTGCTTTTCGGCCATCTCCGTGTGTCTTCTTGGGGTATCCGTCCTAGTTTCGTGGGTATAGGTGCATGGACCTTGATACGGGTAAGATCTTTATATGCTGGCATGTTCAGTTTGATGAGGGCATATTTCCTTAATTTGCTAAATCATCTGTGCAGGACTTGTCTGCTGTGAGCCGTGTTGTTGAGCCATGGGGTGTTAGCTCGGTTGTTGTGCCTGCCCCGACTATTGTGTTTGAGCTGGATCCTGGTGTTGTTCCAGTGGTCGTTCACGCCGTTCCTGTAGCTCGGTCACGAAGGCGTGCTAGGGCCATGTCGCCATAGCCTCGATCTCATTCTATGCTGCTGCGGCACATGGAGCATACTGAGCCGCTCCAGGCTTTGGTAGCGACCTCAAGAGATCCCATGTGCTACTCACAGGCGGTTCGGCATCCAGAATGGCGTACGGTGATGTATGAGGAGTTCAATGCGCTTCTACATAATTAGACCTAGCAGTTGGTCCCTCCTACACCTGCTATGAATGTTGTTGGCTGCAAGTGGGTGTTACGGACCAAGCGCAAGGCGGATGGGTCGATTGAGCGTTACAAGGCTAGACTCGTCGCCAAAGGGTTTAATCAGGTGGCCGGGAGGACTTCTTTGACACCTTTAGCCCGGTGGTCAAACCCACGACAGTTCGTTTATTGCTCTCTTTTGCTTTGTCTCGAGGGTGGACGCTCCGGCAGCTAGATGTGCATAACGCCTTTCTTAATGGGCGTTTGGCAGAGTCCGTATTTATGAAGCAGCCCTCGGGATATCTTGATCATAATTTCCTGGATCATGTTTGTCAATTACAGCGTTCTCTCTATGTCTTGAATCAGGCTTCGCGGGCCTGGTTTAAGCGTTTGCACGACTTTTTACTCACTGTTGGGTTTAAGGCCTCGAAGACAGACGTTTCTTTGTTCTATTATTCTGTTGCAGGTGCCCAAGTGTTCTTACTCGTCTATGTTGACGACATTATTTTAATGGGCAGTGATTCAAGATTGGTTGATGATCTTTTACGGCGCCTTGCTACTGCCTTTAAAATTCGTGATCTGGGCTCTCCGAGTTTTTTTTCTCGGGATTGAGATGGTTCCTATTGATGGGGTTTTTTTTGTTGTCCCAGCGTAGGTATATGTCTGATATTTTGACCTGGGCTAGCATGGTGGACTGTAAGCTACTTGTTACTCCTTTATCTGTTGCTCGGGCGGTTGTTGCGTCTGATGAACCGTTTGACAATCCCACGCAATATCGGAGTTTGGCTGTTGCTCTCCAATATTTGACAGTCACGCGGCCTGATCTCTCCTATGCTGTCAATCAGCTCTGTCAGCATATGCAAGCCCCAACAGTCGCACACTGGGTTATGTTGAAACGTGTACTTCGCAATGTTAAAGGAACACTTTCTTTTTGGTCTGCGTCTTCGTACCTCGCAGCATATTGCCTTGCACGCCTATTCTGATTCGGACTGGGTTGGTTATCAGGTGGATTGCAGGTTTGCTGTTTATCTTGGCTGCAACTTGGTTTCTTGGGTTTGTCGTAAGCAGGGTCTGTTTGATGTTGTTGCTGAGGTTGTGTGGATTCTGTCGCTATTAAAGGAGATTGGGTTATCGTTGTCTTCGGCACCAACAGTCGCACACTGGGTTATGTTGAAACGTGTACTTCGCAATGTTAAAGGAACACTTTCTTTTTGGTCTGCGTCTTCGTACCTCGCAGCATATTGCCTTGCACGCCTATTCTGATTCGGACTGGGTTGGTTATCAGGTGGATTGCAGGTTTGCTGTTTATCTTGGCTGCAACTTGGTTTCTTGGGTTTGTCGTAAGCAGGGTCTGTTTGATGTTGTTGCTGAGGTTGTGTGGATTCTGTCGCTATTAAAGGAGATTGGGTTATCGTTGTCTTCGGCACCTTCGCTTTGGTGCGACAACCTTGGTGCTACGTATCTCTGTGCAAATCTCGTTTTTTCATGCACGGACTAAGCGCTTCGGGGGACTTCAAGGTTCATCATGTTTCCACTCAGGAGCAGGTTGCTGACGATCCCGCTGCGTATCTTTTTTCATGCACGGACTAAGCATGTGGATGTGCATTATCATTTTGTGCGTGATAAGTTTCATGCACGGACTAAGCATGTGGATGTGCATTATCATTTTGTGCGTGATAAGGTTTCTTGACTCTATTACATTGTAGTAGCACACAGAATCAACAACGCCTCGACTAAGGCTCGATCTCATTATCTCCCACATAGGGTCACTACATGCCATCTGAGCACAAGGTGCTTGGCAACCCATATCAATCTATATAATCAGAAAATACTTTTTAAAAGATACGGAGTACTTTTTTTTTTTTTTTTTTTTTTACTATTCAATTAATAAAGACTATTTTTATTTTTTAATTATTATCTAAAATCGTATCATATATTTTTATTATTCCGTAAGTGACACGTAATCATTAATGAATTCTAGAGACTTTGTTAAAGAATAGTACAATAACTTAACATAGCGATTTTCCCAGACTAGGCGATTTTCGCAACTGTGGGACACGAACGGCATGCTAGCAAGTAGCGAAGTTAATCTCCGTCGATTTTCTAAACACGGTAGGGCCCGCAAAAATGAACGAACGCAAATCCGTCTGTGATTTTGCAAGATACATTTTGCCGTAGCTTTAACTCAACGGTTTCACTGTCGATTCCTAAATCCTAATACTCTCCCAACTCCCTAAGCAAGAACAACAAGATCAAAGAGCTTAGAGCCCCACGAATTTAAAATATTTGCAGACTGAATTTTTTCCAACAATCGTTCTAATTCAGTGATTTTATCACCGTCGTTTCGTCGTGAAAATCATCGTCGCGCGTGAAATCCGGTAAGTCGGTAACAAAGCACGTCCTCGCCATTGCTCTGATGTTCAATCTCCGCAATTGCTTTGCAAAACCTAATTGCTTATCGCCACTTTCAATGTTCAATTTATTGTAGTGTAAAACTGAGTTGAAATTGCTTTCAAGAGTTCTTATTTTCTGGTTCATTAACCTCTCTGTAGAAGCACAAGTTTGCAGTAATCTTAGTGTTAGTTCAAGTTGCCACTTTTGATAATGGAGTAGAGCATACTAAGAAATATGGTGTTAATATGGTTTAATGTTAGTTTAAGTTTGAAGTTTCTGCCTTGTTTAAAACGCTGAACGGTTATTGTTAATATGGTTTAATGATAGTCTGAAATATGGTTTAGTGAAGAGTAGTTAATATGGAGTACGTTAGTAAGTACACAAGATTTAAGGACTAATCTTATTTTTTTGGTGGTGTGATGTGATGAAACATGATTATGAATTTCAGCTTATAGGCTACCGGAATCATGATTTTGGATTATGACTTTGAGAAAATGAAGCTAGATTGCTGTGATTTTGTAATGTGGTACAATAAGATTGGGCCTTCTTTATAGATTCATTTGTTTTAGGGACAAGGTTCTTGACCTAACAGTTACTGGATTACAATGATCCTTTAGTTGTACAAAATCTGTCTCTTCTGTAATATGTTCATATTCATATCATGGACAGTTCAGTGTTTCCTTGGGCATTGTTTAATGTTTTGACACATTTTGTTCTTTGTACAGGCTTTTTGTATTCAAGACCTATAAGATTCAGTTCTGATTTTCAACATTATCATTTTCTCTGGCTAGGAGTACTGGTGTTGAGATAAATTTAGCAGGTGTCAGTTATTGTCTTGGAGGATACTTGGTTGTTACAGAAGCTGTTGAAGAACATGGGTCAGATCTTTAGAAGTGTATAAAAAAGAGCATTTGGATGTCTTGCCATTAGAATTGGTTCACCTATTAACAAACTGTAACAATTTGGAATGGGATGGAAGGGGGTATTCTTTATGTTATTCTCTTTAACGAGTTTGGTCCAGTCATCAGGAAGAGTGGGAAACTTTTGGACCCTGAATGCAAGTTCTGGATCAGCATCACTCTATAGCTGGGCAATCGGCAGTGCAGCCATATTTGTGTTGGTGGCTCTTGTCTTGTCCATGTATCTTATCTTTGAACATTTATCATCATACAATCAGCCTGAGGTTATTACCATATTCATTTGAAGATGTTGTACTTTCAAATTTCCTGTTATTCCTGCACCGTATGATTTTTCTTTTTGATCATTAATTCAGATTTTGTCCATGTATTTCTGCTTACTAATTTGTATATTACTCCTGCACTGTACTTCCAATTGCTGCCCTTCCTTGGGGATTTCAGAGTGTCTTGTTTTACTATGTTTATGGAATGGAATTGATAGGAGTTATATTTATTCTTGCTTGCAGGAGCAGAAGTTTTTGATTGGATTGATTTTGATGGTTCCTGTTTATGCATTAGAATCGGTATGATAACAGTTAAATATTTTCACCTTTATATTCCCTCCCCCCGCCCCTGATTTCTCCAGAAGTGAAGGAGATGTTTTATTTCTTCTTTGTTTGCTCTCTTTATTTTCAATCTGTTTTCATTCCGTTGTTATGCATAGCTTTTCATTCCTGAAAGAAATAAAGCTTTCTAATGGTCATAAAGGAGAAAAACGGTCCTTGTAGTGATAGTATGAGTAATAATTGCACAAAAAGTATTGAAAACGTAGAATGAAAGTTTTGCACTCCCATTAATGAAAACATCTAATATATGATCTCAAGTCTTACTTAAAAGCTGCTTATTATGTGGTCACATACTGATTTACACGGAGTTATTGTTTGGAAATATTTCATAATATATTATTCAGGACTTTTCATCTTCTTTATTTCAAGTGATTTTTCTCTTGGATGTATGTCTTATGATCTTTTGTTCTGGGACAGTTCTTATCGCTCTTGGATTCAAAAGCTGCCTTTAACTATGAGGTCATACGGGATTGTTATGAAGCTTTTGCGTTATATTGCTTTGAGAGGTATCTCATAGCCTGTTTAGGTATGTCTAAAGGGTTTGAGCACTGATTGCTATTTTATTTTAAATTTGCTGATTTTGGACTTTTTGTTGTGGATAAATACCAGGCAAGAAGTTATATAAGGATACATATTGACAAATGTACACTTCTTGACTAAAACCATTGCTCCCCTTCCATTAAATTATTATCCTCATATTTTTATTTTTCTCTTGGAAATGTTTCCAACTAAGGATTTCATGCCTACCTATTTTAATGTAATTTCATTGTTATTATTGTGCCGACTTGAAGTACATTGGTATTTAGTCTTATTTGAGTACCTTTGTCATTTTTGTGAATTACAACTTACAAATAAAAGTTACAGAAGGTGTAGATAAGAAATAGCCTACAAAGGTAATTTTGGATCATTACTTGAATTAGCAGGTATTAATGCACTTCTCTGATTATACTGCTAATTGGAGGTGGTTTATAGTTCTGTCCCTTAACTCCTTTAGCAAATTGATAATCTTGTTCAAATTGTCATAGCCGCACTGATGTCTATAATTTAATGGGAAGTCTATGGGGTAGACCTATGAATTTCTTTGCTCCTTTTGCTTAAGAATTAGATATGAAGACTGGAATCATTGCCTGAACGGTTCCCCCACTAAGGGAACAGATGCTGGCTGCTTAATGGGAGTAAAATCTGCCAAATGAAATTGACTCTCTTCTCTATTTTTTGGCTTATTATTTCCTTGTTCTTTTGTTGCTATCCAGGGATTGCTTAGCTCATCTGAGAGGATAGCTTGTGCCTCTTCATTGTACATTCTATTTTTTCTATGTTAATATATTCATCCTTTTGATAAAAATAAAAGTAAAAATAAATATCTGCCATAGATGCAAATGAAATTGATATGAAATATTAACATGTATCTTATTAATAACAAAACACATACGTATCATGAACTTGCAGGTGGAGAGAAAAATACCATTGAATTTATGGAAAGTCACAGCATGGTCACTTCAAGTGCACCTCTTTTGGATGAAGTTTATGCCTATGGAGTTGTTGAGCATCCTTTTCCACTTAATTGCTTTATCAGCGGGTGGTCTCTTGGTCCTGAGTTTTATCAAGCTGTTAAAGTTGGCATTGTTCAGTATGTGAGTTCCCAAAATAATTCAAATCATTGCCTATCTTGTACCTTAGTTAAGTTGATATTCTGTTTGACTAAGGATTGTTTTACAGATGTTACTGAAAATGATATGCGCTTTACTTGCGATGGTTTTCCAATTTTGTGGTATTTATGGGGAGGGAAAGTTTGAATGGAAATATGCGTAAGTTATCCTCTACTATTCTTCATTTTTTACAGATTTGTTTTTTTTTTTTTTTTTTTTTTTTTTTTTTAAATCTGTTTTCACTTCATTGTTATTCTTGCTCTTTAGGATGATAGGTGTCGCTATGATATTGAGATATTCTTTCCTTGTGATCTGAAACTTTATAATTTCCCTGCAGCTATCCATACTTAGCTGTGGTTCTTAATTTCAGCCAGACCTGGGCCTTGTATTGCCTTGTGCAATTTTACTCTGTCACGAAGAATAAATTGGAGCCTATTAAGCCCTTGGCCAAGTTTCTGGTTTTTAAGTCGATTGTGTTCTTAACATGGTGGCAAGGTGTAGCTGTTGCATTTCTTTTCTCATTTGGAGCTTTTAAAGGGCGGTTGGCACAGGTTCTGAAGACACGTATTCAAGACTATATCATCTGTATTGAGGTTTTTGACTTACCTTTATAGTATCATACATAATATTAGCAACATTTTTCTTTTTGATACGTCATATTTAACAAAACTAATGTACAAAGTTTTTGTTAGTTTCTTATGGCATATTGGTCTGAGTGGCATATGATGAAGGATTTCTGAAAAGTGCTCTAGCATAGTCATTTGAGCATCTTTTAACTGTTGTATAGATTTTCTATGTTTTAGAGTAAATAGCACTTTTGGCTTTTAAGCACGACAGTACATGAGCAATGCATGTGAAGGTCACTATTCCAAAAGTGATATATCTTTGTTAATTAGGTTTAAATCAGCCAGTTCTACCACTCCAAAAGTGATAGAATTAGATTCATTAGGTTTATATTTTTAGCCAGTTGCTTAATGAAAACATTGAAATCAAAGAACTAGTTATGCATCCAGATTTTTGGTCTTCCCAAGTTTTAATTTTGCATTTTAGGTTATAATGTGTTTAGCTTACGGGATACTTTCTAGCATCTTACATGATGTGTCTTTGTTTATATAATCAGTAGGAATTTTGTTCAGAATGAGTGTGTTCTTTATGAAAATGTTGTTTTAATGAATATTGGCAAATCACAAGCTGTTTAATTCTTTATTTGTGAAATAGATGGGCATTGCTGCTGTGGTGCATCTCTACGTTTTCCCTGCAGCACCATACAAGCGTGGGGAAAGATGTGTCCGTAATGTTTCCGTGATGGCAGATTATGCATCTCTGGACAGTCCACCAGACCCTGAAGAAGTTAAAGATTGTGAAAGAACTACCAGAGTACGGGTTGCTCGGCATGATGAGAGAGAGAAGCGTCCAAAATTTCACCAGAGTGTTCGGGATGTGGTTGTTGGAAGTGGTGAAATTGTAAGAATCATCTTCCGTACTTATTTGTAAAGATATCCCTCCCACTGGTTATCACAATCGTGTAATGCCATATTTTGCTCCCGTCCAATAATTTCAGATCGTTGATGACATGAAGTTCACTGTTTCCCATGTTGTGGAACCGGTTGAAAGGGGTATTGCAAAGATAAACAGAACTTTCCATGAGATATCTGAAAATGTTAAGCGGCATGAAGAAGAGAGGAAGAAGAACTCCAAGGATGACAGCTGTCTTGTTCCCTTGAACTCGTGGACAAAGGAATTCTCGGATGGAGGTGAGGACTCGATGCAAGGAAGTATGAGTGATGGCGGGTTGCCCCAAGTAAAGACATTCAGAAGGGCGTCGTCATCCCGATTCAGGTACAGATAGCAGACCCCCCACTGACCTAACTCAAGATACGCGATATTAAGAACCTTTTCGATAACCACCCTTAATGTTGTATTTTTGAAATGAATACTAGCATTTGGAGAATAAACAAGTGGTTTAGATTCACAGTATTGTATATTTGGAGTAGTGGTAGTTTTTTTTTTTTTTTGGTTTACTGTGGAAATCTTAAAGGTGGGTTTGAACATTGATCACACAGATATTATTGTGGAAAACCAACTAGAAATGGCTTTACTGATGAAGTGAGTCAGCCCTTTAGCCGTGCATTGATTTCTACTATCCTGTGAAGGGCAAAAAACATACTTTGATTAGATATCAGCTCAATTTTGATTTTTGAGGACTAATATAATTGGTTTTGTATGAATGTTTTATATAACTTATGGAGCACGGTTATCATTTATCATGGAGTAAGATAAGATTTATATAGATAATAGAAATCATTTATTAGTTATCTATTGAAGATGCTCTTATAGATATACGATAAACAAAACAAAATAGGAAGATTTTTACGGCTATAAAGTTCGGCCCAAAACTATCAACCTTAGTTGGCCCAAAAATATTAGGGTTTTGGTGATGCCCCCTGTAAACGCTATAAATACACCTAACTTCCTCCTTTAGCTTCTCATTAGTCATTAGTGCACAGCACACAAAATCATATGAAATCTTATCTTTTCAGATCTGATCCTCCCATTCCGGGAAGGGGAGGAAAGAGAGGAATTGAGGGATATCTTTGGGAGCGGGTGGGTAGGAAAAATTTCTCTTTGAATTCTCCACAGATGGGAGAATTTCACAGATCGTAAGTTTTTCCTATGCCTCCCATTCCTAAGGTGTCCCATCACACCTCTCTTGCCTGCTTATTCTCTCATCCACTCTTCGGTTTGTACACTTTCTGTTGGAATTTGACCTAAGAAAACTTTTGTTCTAAATATGTTCAGATCTACTGGATTTTTTGCCTTTAATTTTGAAATCTATTAGTTTAATTTCTGTATTTTTTTATTTTTTATTTTGGGTTCATACGGACTGTTATTTTGTGTCGATTAGTTTAGAAGTAATTGATAAGTGTTTTGGAACTGTATTGCGATCTAGATCTAGTTTACTTTGCTTTCTAAGGACATTTCTAATTTGTGTCACCAAAATTTACATTAAGCTTTGTTCATTCCTAACCGATCCCTTCATGGTTGATCTAATATGTATAAGTATACAAAATGTTTTTATTTTCACACAATCTAATTCATAATTTTTCTATTATTTTTTGCACTGGCTACAATATCTTCTTCAGAGCTAATTTCACTTCTATATTATATTATTATAAATATAATAATAAATAATTAATAAAAAAATAATGAAGTAGTTTTGTTATTAGCAAATTTGCTAACTGTTGCAAATTTTATTTATGCTACTTGAAGTGGCATAATGGCCGGGATATGGTTAATAAATTTGCAATTTTTGCAATTTGCTAGTGACAAATTTTAGCTCAAAAGGCGCCATTATTTTTTTATTATTGACTTTATTATTATTGTATTTATTACAAGAACTAATATTTTGGTGTTTTACCGTGTAAGTTGTCTTAAAATAAGGATCATGCTTTAGGTGATAGTGTAAAATTGCTTGGGTGAATACAATTTATTATATGGATGCAAACAACTACTTTAGTATATGGTGCATTTATATAGTAGATTCTTATAGGTACATATAACATTTTAATTATCTCCTAAGGATGTTTAAACAAATTTTATAGAGTTAATACTCAAAATATTCTTTTTTCGTCCTAACCTTGTATTTAACACCAACTTAACGGCCGTTAGCAATTTACATATTTAACACCAACCTAAATATGAGAGAACACTCTCATATCGGAGAGAAATAAGAATCAGTCTTAACTTACATCCAAAGTTTGAAGGATTTGATTAGATTAAAAAAGAGAAGACGCGGTGATTGTGGTTTTGTTGTGCAAATTTAACACTTAATTAAATATGTAAATTTGATAAATTTTATAAAATTAATGAAAAAAATAAATTTAAATCTAAATAGTAAAAATTAGGTCTTAAGTAATCACAGGACTTAATATTACTTAATATTAATAATGTTGGTGATAAACTTAGTCATAAGATATTAAAATTGAAATCCTAAATTGAATGTATTTTTGGAAGTGCAAACTTTTCTATCAAAAATAAGTAAATTGTTAACACTAAATATGTGAAATATTAATAAAGTTGATAATAATTATGAAATTATTATCTCTCTTTATTTGTAAGAATGTGATCTAGTGTGTTCAAATTGTGATTAGTTCTTAATTTTTTTCTATGAACTTGTTTTTATATGATCTAATCTAATTTATAATTGGACCTAACTGGGCATTTGATTGAAAATTAAATAAGGAATTAGGGGAGAATTAAATTATAAATTCGTGAAAAAAGAATAAAGGGTGTATTTAAATTATATTGTTGGGTAGGTATGAATAAAATAATCGGTAATTGAAAGAAAAATGTGAATAAAAATTAAAACGCTGTTGTATAATAATAATAATAATAATGATGGTAAAATTATAATTCACCATGAAAATACAATTTCACAAAGTGTAGAGTTGCAACGGGATCATAGGATTTTGAAGTTTTGATTTCTTTTACCGCACGTTTGGGTCACGAAATGAATTTTAGGATAAAAGGAATGCTATTCCATTCTATTGTTTGGTTCGCGGAAGGAATAGACTTTAGAAATGAAATATGTTTAAAAAGACATAAATATCTTTATAAAAATATGTGGTGGTGGTTGTAGTGCTGACAGTGGTGGTGGGGTGGCGGTGCTGGTGGTAGTGATGGCGGCAGTAGCGACGATGGTGATGGTGGCGAAATGAAATATATGTTTAAAAAGATATAAATATCTTTATAAAAATCTGTGGTGGTGGTTGTAGCGGCGACGGTGGTGGTGCTGGTGGTAGTGATGGCGATAGTAGCGGTGATGGTGGCGGTGGTAGCGGTGGTGGCGATGGTGGTGGCCGCAGTGGTGGTGGTGGTGAAATAAGAAATAAATTTAAATAGGGGGTAAAATAAAAAATATATAAATGTGTGTGTGTGTGTGTGTGTGTGTATATATATATATATATATATATATATATATATATATATATATATATATATATATAAGGGTATTTTTTATATTTGTAATATAAAAGCTATTCTCATAAGCATGTGAATAGCTAATACCAAGGTCCTCTAAGAATGACTATTTCCCTTGCAAAGGGGATAAGTCTTTCCTAGAAAAAGTATCTTCATGACAAAGTGACGAACCAAATAATGGAATAAGTCTATTCCATGAAATGGCATTCTATTCATGACTTATTCTATGAACCAAACATGCTATTAGTGGGTCAGTGGGTGTTTGAAACACATTAATTACAACTCAATTCCTTTATAATTTCACAACTATCAAAATTCTATTATTTGGTGGAAGGAATTGTAATTTCACGGAATTATAATTCTCTTAACATTGAATTAAAACTCACATAAGGGCAACTCTGTTGTCTTCATTTTTGCAAAGGATTTTTTTTTTTTTTTTTTTTTTTTTTTTTTTAGGTGAGAGTAAAGCATAGGCATGTGATGGAGTAAAGAGATTGTTTTGTTATATATTCGCAACGACAACGCGCGAGCTGAAAACTTTTTAAGAAACACGAACACAATGAGTGTATGACTGAAAGGAAGTCTGTGTCGTGTTATAATAATACTACCTTAAAAGTATTATTTACTCAGTAACGGTGCAGTAAAAATCTTGGCACGCTTTTGACAAGTTACACATACTAATTACGCTTAGTTCGCACCAACTACAGTGCAGCTGAACCTAACTTACTGCTCAGACAAAGAGAATACATGATGAAAGAATTTAGTTGTATTCATATTTTGGTGTGTTTCTTCTCAATGTAGAATGCTGTTTTTATAGTGAATAATCCAACAGCCTACCACGATTTTAGCCATGGAAAGGCTTAGGAGAAGGAAGGTGTGACACGTGGATCCCATGATTCAAGAAATTAGCTAGTTTAGCTTTGAATGTTTCCAACATGTTCTCCATAGGTTTAAAATAAAATAAAAACAATTGATGTACCATTCATTCTTTCAAAAGGCTGAATCCTAACCCTAAGGGTCCTTCACACCCCCGACCCGACAGAACATTTGAAAGAATTGATGTACCATTCATGCATAGTGCGTTGGAGTGGGGGGAAGTTGTCCCCCACTCTAACATGACATTTGATTTGAATGTGAATATCAAATGAATTTTTATTTTCAACTAGTTATGACTTGTTTAAAAAAAAAAAAAAATTAATCCATAAATATGGCACACTAAATTTACAATATTTTTCCTAACTTTCTCTTTCCTCTTTAAAAAGACAATGGTCATATGAAAGTTGTAAAAATTAATTAGTTTAATATCAAAGTTATTTGATATTGACGTTTTAGTGGAGATAAGTTGTGAGCTTGTCCTCCATTACAATACATTTGAGTGGTGCGTCCATCAATTGTTGCACTTCATCGTTTAATTTATTGTGCATGGAGGCTATAACAAGTCAATCGTTATGCGTTGGACCCGTGTCCAGCATGCTTGCTGGACACGGGTAACAGTGCCGTTAGGCACTGTTATCTTTTTTTTTTTTTTTTTTTTTTTTAAATTTCAGACCGTTTCGTTATAGGAGTATATGTTCATAATTTTATTACTATATATTAATAAATGTACATTCATAACTCCATAACTGTACGTTCATAACTCTATAACTGTACATTCATAACTCCATAACTGTACATTCATAACTCCATAATTGTACATTCATAATTTTCGAAGCTCTATGTTCACAATTTTAGAGCTCTATGTTCATAATTTTATCACTATATGTTCATAATTGTAAGTTCATAATGTTAGAGCTCTTTGTTCATAATTCGATCAATAACTGTACATTCATAATTCCATAACTGTAGATTCATAATCTCATAACTGTAGATTCATAACTCTATAATTGTACATTCATAACTCCATAACTGTACATTCATAATCTTCGAAGCTCTATATTCACAATTTTAAAGCTCCATGGTCATAATTTTATCACTATATATGTTCATAATTGTAAGTTCATAATGTTAGAGCTCTGTGTACATAATTTCATAATTGCATAACTGTACCTTCATAACGGCATAACTGTACATTCATAACGGCATAATTGTACATTCATAATCCAAAAAAAAAAAAAATAACGCCGTTAACAGCAAAACGCGCGCGATTTTTTTTTTTTTTAACTA